GAATTTTTGTTCTTTGATGCCTGATATCTGATCCTATGAACACCTCATGATCACATAGGGTGGTGTGCTTCCATGTGGGCTTTGTTGCTTCTCAGCTAGATGGCTGCTTGTTTATCTTCAGGCCTTTAAAACCCCAGACGCTATAATATCTTTTGATAGCCGGGCCCCATCAGCTTTCTTGACCACATTCACTTATGCAACCACTTTGTCTTCAGCCATCATGTTGAAAAGGTGAACATCATGGAATGCTAGTTTAATAGAACAATGTGTTCTTGCATTGAGGGAGTAATTGAGTAGAGGTCCAATGTCTATCTGCTACCTTAATACTAAACCTATAAATATATGTACATAGATCTATTTCCCTATTGGCATATATAAATTTATTTACATATGTACATACCTGTATTTAGACCTCTATAAATGCCCTTTGCCCCCTAGATTTTTCCTATATTTCCTTTTACTTTCCTCTTGTCCACTATCATGTTCAGCCTTCATTTGGATTCCAGTAATTCCTCTCAGTTACATTGCCCTTGATCAAGTCCTACCAGGCCTCCTATATCCTCCTCGCCATTGATTTTGGATCACTTGTTGTTCCTTTGTCCCTGGGTTTGTTAACTCCCATTTCCTTTCCCCCGCCTCCCCCTCTCCCATGTCCCCCCACCCCTTGGTCTCATTGTTTTCTCTTCCAGCTTGTTTATCCCATCTTATCTTATCCAGATAGACCTGCAGAGATAATCGTATGCACAAAAAACAAGACAGAGCAAAACAAAGCAACAAAAGAAAACAAAACAACAACCAAAAAAAGCCAAGGACAAAAAAAGAAAAGCCTGTAAATAGTTAAGGTCTGTTTGTTGACCTTTAGGAGTGTTTTCTAGTCTGTTGGGGTGCCACACCTTGGGCCCAGAGTCTATTTTTGGTAATCTCTGGGGACTTTGTTGCTCTGTTCCCCTTGCTGTTCTGTAGTACATCTTTAATGTCTCACCTTAGTGTGGTCAATCGGGCGCAGTTCCCGCACTGTGCCTCCAGTGGTGTTCTCGTATCTTGCTATGAGTCAGTGAGGGACGTCCTGTCTCATAGTGGGGCTAGCCCTGTGGTCCTCTCTCTGCTTTGGCGGCTTTGAGTGGGAATATCGTCCTCAGGGCTTGGTGGACCTAAAGTAGCCCCACCCTAAGGAAACAAAGGGTGTGACTTGGTTCACACCCACTAAGGTCAGCATTTAATCCCACCTTCATCTTCTAACAGAGAACTCCCTCCAAAATGGTATCATAGCCACAGGCATAAAATGCAGAATTAGCGTATATTGCACAAGGAATTATGGCTAAAAGGGTCATGTTAATTGACTATAACTCAACAACCACCAACAAAGAAGATCTGGAAGTGGAGTGTGCCCTTTGGACTCAATCCTTGGACTGAGAACCTCCTAGACCCAGGAGACAGCTCTATTGCCAAATGTTTTATCGTGGACTTTCTGACCCCCACAGTGAAGAATTGTGCCTTCATGTTAAGATACTTACTAGTAGAGTGAGATATTTCTGGGCTTTTGTCAGAATAACTAGACTAGATAACTGTGGTGAAGTAAATTCTCTTAATATGAGTCTTCTATCTCTGTCTATGTAACTCCCACCAAATGATTGGACCATGCAAATAGGGCATGTGAAGCACTAATAGAAGGGATTGGTCTGTTTTACTTGCCACTCCTCTTGCCTTGATTGGCCTGCTTTAGTTGTTAATCTTCTGGCTATAAGAATGAGTCATCTCAGAAGCAGGAATAGAGAGAATTCTCAGGAATATCAAGAAAGGAGAGCCACCACTGGAGCAATTTGGGAATACCTGCCTGACATAGCAGAGACAGCAGATGCCATGATACTCTGAGATCAGAGGCTAAGGCAAGGAGACCACGAGACAGCAGAGGAGCAGTGTGAAGATTATGAGACTGAGGCAAAGCAGCAGGCCTACAGAGGCAGAGAGGTTAAAGAGAGGTTGATAGAGATTGAGGATGAGAGAGAGAGACTTGGCTGCTAGTTGAAGAGAGGAGCTGCGGTTGACCAATGATCCTATACTTAATGTTTTCTGATTCTGTCCTGTTTTAGCTTATTAGCTTCCCTGAATAACCCTGCCTTAATCATGAGTATCATCTATGAGTTCTGTGTGGTCCTTGCAATAGATTATCTCTGTCAGATAATAGTAACTGCTGTGTAAGAAAACCTAGCCCTCATTTGTGATTTGTTTGTCTTTGTTGCTGCGTTCTTGTGTTTTTAGACACCAAGAGTCAATCTCTCCTAACCTATAATATGGAAATTAAGCTTGGAATTATAGCTCTCTCCTCTCTTCTACACATTCCTAACCGAAACTTTAACTGACATTTTTGTAAACAATCAATCCAGAAGAAAAGTATTGTTATGGGAGCAACAATTGGTGTCAGAATAGGGCAGAAGAAGGATATAGAAGCATGTCTGGCCTCTGCCGTATGTCACTTGGTCTTAGGCTTGAGCTGCTGTGGAAATGGATTCTCTTCCCTACTGAAACTGGAGGTCAGATGACGCCTCAACATATTTACTCACTAACCTATGTAAAGCTAGAGCTCAGTGCCTTCAGGCTGAGGGCACTGGTAGAGTGAAGTTCTCCTGGTTACTTAATTGGTGGAGATAAAGAGCTATGTAATACTTTAAGCATCACAGAGTTCAGGGTTAAGGCTAAGGAACTGAAGGTCAGAGAGCTGCCTGTGGGTGTGGACAACCTAGTTTTCTTGATGGAAGAGCTGTATTCTGCAACATTCCTGATACTGAATTCTAACCCTTTTACTTCTCTAATAAACCCTAAAACTGTGGGTATGGTTTGTGAGTTCTCAGTGTTGATTACAATGAATTATTGAACCCAGCCAAGAAGTAGTGCCACGAGAAGAACTGCTGTGTCAGAATTGCTAAAAAGTTTGCTGGTGGGAGGTATGTTTTACCTCTGCCTTGTAGGAGTGAGTTTGGAGGATTCATGCTGATGGGAATTCTCCTCTCATTTCCTGAAGTTAGAGAACTTCTTAGACCACTGCACCATTTTCACAGAGTAAGAGCATCTACTTTGCTAACTCTAAAAACCCTATTTTGAAATATTCTGGGGTCAAGTTAGCAGTAGGACATGCTCATTCATGTGATAAGCCAAGAAAACCTAGCCCTCATTTGTGATTTGGTTGTCTTTGTTGCGGCTGTCATTGTGGCTTTTAGACACCAAGACTCTATCTCTCCTGACCTATAATTTGGAAATGGAAGCCTGGAATTGCATCTCTTTCCTCTCTTTCACTTATTCCTAACAAACTTTCACTGACGTTTTTGTAAACAACTGAAAAGAAAATACTTTTGAGGAAAGTTTTTTTTTTTAATCCCTAGAACTATTATTTATAATAATTTGGGGAGGAATTAAAAGTTTGCATTTGAAATTTTGCTTTCTTAGAAGAATTTGAATATATTGTCCCCAAATTGTTGTTTTATATGCAAGTGCACCCTCAGCATCTACTCCCTATATAGGTACCAAAATGGATTTTTTAGTTATTTTGACTGTCAGGTTTTACGATTTCCAAGTACACATTTCAGAATATTCTGAGGATTATGCTTTGTTTATATCCCTTAACTGCCTCAAAGGAGCTCTGCTGGCATAGTGGTAGAGTTTTTGACTGCTCACTGAAAGCTTGGCAGTTTGAACCCACCAGCTAACTTGCAGAAGAAAGGTACAGCAGTCAGCTTCCATATAGATAAGAGATTTAGAAGGTCTATTGGCTAATTCTCTTCAATCCTTTAGGGTTGCTTGCTGTTAGTTGGAGTTGGCTTCACAGTAATAGTTTAGGTTTGTTTGTTTACCTCCCTATCCACCCATTCTCTGGATACTTTATTCAGTGTAATAAGAAATCATTGCAAGCACCCTCAACTTATTGTTTATTTGTATAAATAATCTCTGCAATGTATTAGGCACTTGACATTTTAGTCTTTTCTGGCTGAGGTGCCTGCAGTGAGTTAGAGGAGTTCAGTGCAATTGGTTGGTTCTCTTTTATGTGTCCTTTCTGGCCTGGAGTTTGTAATTCTCCCAGAACCATTTGTTGGACCACATTCTGTTAGATTGGTTGATTTTTATATCCATATTGACATTTCTCAAGGGATTGGTTAGTTTGCTTTCTGCATAAGCAGTTTACAAAGGTTTGGTGGTTTACAATCCACCTTTATGTGGATTACCTGGGGACCTGGAACCCCTCCTCCCACACATTCCCCACACTCTCAGATGCTTATCAGATCCTAGCAGATACTAGTTGGAAGGGTTTCATCTAT